TAGGCAAGGAGAGGATGAACGGTGTTTTCAAAAGTAAGAAAAGGGAAGAAATGGTTGCAGGCGTCGCACGGGTGTTATAGAATAAGAGGGGGGGAAAGTTTGTTTCAATTTAAAAAATTAGGTTAATTATTGAGTAAGTCCTCGAATTATTCAATATTTACGAAATAGGCTTCCAATTAACATACTTTTACAATTTGGTTACCAATCTCAATTTAGCGTTTTGAATAAAATTTCCCCAAATTCTAGGGTTTTGAGGTGGGTATTAATTGGAGTGTTACAATTCTCCCCTCCTTAAAGAAAATTTTGATCTCAAAATTTTCAAAAATAGAAATGGAATGACTTAAAAATATACCTTCAATATCGTATGGCTTATCTTGATCCTCAAACCCCCAAGTAGCATATACCAACTCATGTTGCCTCACTGTGGATCTATCTGAACATCTACTCTGAATCAGCCTACTCTACTAGTCGAACCAGAACTAAAACTAGTCAGTCTACTCTGATCCCTACCTCAAGTCGGGGCCTGAACAAAAGCATGCAATTGGCTAGGACTATAAGAATCAATAGCCGAAAAAGGAAACTCCTTAAAATGGTGCTCCATAATCCAATAACGAAAACATGCTCTAATCTTCCTCTAACACTCTCCAGGATGTCTTTTCCTGTAGGAAGAGCATAATGGTACCCCATAAGTACCAATCGAACCGCCAACACTAACAATCGGAGCAATAGATTTCACTGGTCTTGCCCTAATATAACTCTGTGAAACTGAATCATCTCTTGCTCTCTTATCGAACTGATTCACATACCATACCTGAGTAGGTGGTCCTCGTTACCTTTGGGGTTTATTAGAATTATAGGGTTTAGAACTCGAATACAATGGCTCGATCTTCTCAGCAGTCCTAGCCCTAGCTGTTAAACTATTAAACATCGTGTCATGGTGTAAGGCAACACCTAGCTAAATCAAGGGACGAAAACATTTCAAGAACCAATCATATTTTTCCTTCTCATTCAAAATCAAACCTGGAGCATATTTGATCAATCTCAAGAACTCAGTCTCATTATCGGTCACAAACATATCATTCTGCTTCAGATTCTGAAAATCCTCATGGCACTTTTTCAAATACTCAGCCCCTACATAGCAATCTTAGAAAGCCTATCGGAATTACTCTCAAGTGACCTACCCGACCGGAACAATATTTGCTTAAACTACCACTAGTCCCGAGCTTCACCACCTAACAAAGATACAATAGCCCTCAACATGCAATCATTCGGGTAATCCATTTCCATAAATAATCGTTGCAGCTTCTTCAACTAATGTTCAACATCATTGGGATCAAATCTGGTCTTACCCACAAACATAGTCATCTCAGCAGCTAAGAACTCAATGGAAAAGGGTTTCCTTGCACCCTCAGTTTGATGGAGGTAGTGAAGTAACTCCCAATTCACAACATCATTATCAATTCCAACAGTCTTACCATCCTTAGATTCACTTGAATCATCACCCCTGAGTCGGATGTGCTGGCAGGTTTTCATTCACGACATATTGAACTCTAGTTTGATTCGCATATTGCTCAACTTTCTCAGTCTCATTATCTTTATTTAGTATTTGGGTCTGGCATGTTGATGGTAGAGGGTTTAACTCTAGCAGGAGCAGTACAAACTTGACCTTGACTGGCCACTAAACAGGAACTATTATGAGGTGTCTTATGGACTATGTAAAAAAGATAACACTTAAGATTAGAGTTGGTACTTGAAGTCTCTGATATATATATATATATAGAAAATTCTCATTTTAACCCAAAAATATTTTGTGTGCAAGCCAAAAATCATTCTTCAGTTGAAAATCTTATGGTAGAGTCTCACAATCTGAGGGTTGAACCTGGCTTGGATACCACTAAATGCAATCCCCTTTACCTGAGCTAGAATGAATAGGTCGGATCTAGAAGGCTCATTAACTTATTTTCCCCAAAATTAGACCAAAAGTAATTTAATAAAACACTGAATTTATTCTCCCACGTTATCAATTTAAAATCTTAAGAAAACAAATTCAATTTTATTAATAAATTGAACAAAAAACAAACGCATATCAAACCGAAGTCCAATGCTCAAAATATAAATTCCAAAGTTCAATATCCCAAAAATAAATAAATAAAAATAATTCCCAAATAAAAGGATTAATGAAACCCAAAGTAATGAATCTGAGTAAAATTGTTCATACTATGAATATTAATAAAATCTGAATATGAAAGTTTTCAAGTACCGATTCAACTAGATTCGAGAATCTGAAAGAGAAACTAGAAGAGTGTAAGCTATTAAGCTTAGTGTGTCTCTAAAGTGCGAAAATTCATAGATCAAACCATAATCTGAGTCAATCAATATTATTCTTAATTTGAATCAAACAATGTCAAATATAATTTGAATGTTATGTAAATGATTATGCACTCATACACATGTCATGCCATCTGAAAAGTTAGTTTCCTAGAATAACTCTAACTACAATAACACCATCCGAAGTGGGGTCCACCACAAAGACAAAGACCACATAATCCGAAAGTGACATTCACCTCGTCTCCACTTGATAGGGAAGCGGTGGTGGGTTAATGAATGTTGCTCTTGTTGAATAATCAAACCTAGAAAGTTCTAGACTCGATGAAGAACAATGGGGAATGAATAGGGGAAAGTGGCGGTAGCAATTAGGGTTCTTGGGGTTTCTTTTAGGTGCTGGAAACAAGGTAAGAAACAAGATTAAAACAAAATAAAGAAAAGATAAAGGAATTGCAAATAAAGTAAAATAAACCAAGAAATCAAAATATCTCCCTTATGAAGGTGAACGGTAAAGATGATTGATGGCATGGATGGATATGTGGAAAATTGATGGATAATGTCCTATCAAGCCCTCATAGTCGCAATGAAAAGGCAAACACAATAATATAGCTCTAACCAACCCTCCTAGTCACGATGAAAAGACAAATTGGAGTGTGAAGATTAATCTCCCTCACAAGAACTTGAAAGAACTCAAGGAGAAGAAGCTTCGAAGGCACAAGGCAATCAACACTTGCAAAAACAAACTCTCTTTGTATTATTAATCAAAGAAATCTTGTTTACAAATTTGAATGAAGTCTCCTTTATATAGGGGCTGAGTTCTAAAGGTCCTAAATAACTAAAGAATAAAATAACAATAAACTAAACATGTCTTAACTCTAATTCCTAATAAAATAATAATAACTAAAAAAATTGTTTTAACCCAACCTTAATTCCATATAAAATAATAAATCTAATCCTAAAAGATAATACATCATCCTATATTAAATTATATTACAAATAATCAATAAAAATATTGAAAATTCGTAATATTTATAAAATCTCGTATTAATCCCGTATAGGATTTTCTGCATGCATCATCTTCAGTAAAATGGTCAAATCTTGAGTTCCCGATATCGGATTGATGCGATTCAAGAACCGTTGGAAATATAAGAGACAGACGGTCGTATATACAGAAGACATATTGGCCAAATAATATCATCATCCCATTCAAAAAGTCATCGCAAGTATGCTTTTGTTCTGATCTTCTTTTCCAATGCTTGGATGAGTGGATCATTTGGAAGAGTTATTACTTCTTCCTTTGATGTGAGTCTTGTGATGCACGTATCATCCTCCCTTTCTTCAAAAAGATTTGACCTCGGATCTGAAACATTAAAGGGAGCAACATTAGAATCGTTTAATGATTCATTCACATTATACTTACCAAATAGATATGCTTTGAATCTTCGAGACTTCGTTCTTCTAATAGGTTCGAGTAGAAACATTACTCCAAAGAAGCATGTATCACTACTAGAAAAAACCCATTTAATGATGCGTATTGCGCGTCATCTAGGGGTGCAGATGACACACAAATGTGCGTCATTGAAGCCACCGTCATAAATCTCAGATGACACGCAATTGTGTGTCATAAATTTATGATGCGCATTGCGCATCATTGAAGCTCCCGTCATAAATGAAGATGACACACAATTGTGTGTCATAAATTTATGACGCGCATTGCGCGTCATTGAAGCTCCCGTCATAAATGAAGATGACACACATTTGTGTGTCATAAATTTATGACACGCATGACTTACATTACGTGTCATTGAAGCTCACGTCATTAAAAAATATGACACACATTCGTGTGTCGTGATTGTATGTCGTAAATTATATATATATATATATATATATATATATATATATATTGTAGATTGACAAATAATCAAATTAAATCACATTTAATGCCTCATAATACTAAATATATATATATATATATATCATATTATATATAAGCAATCCATTAGCATATAATATATTCACATTAAGTTATCAAAAATATTGTAATCATATGTCGATACAAAATATCATGGCATAATAAAGTTTACCACATAAGATACCCATTCTTTCCTAATATCATCAATGTCATCATCCGTGTATTCTTCATTCCCATTGCCAACCTAAGTAACAAATATGAAATAAGTATATAATTTATACTTATTTAAAGTGAATTATATAACTATCAAAGAGTACTAAAATGACCAATTTTAATCATAATAATAAGATTATTGCAAGTATGGAAATAAATAAAGTAGTTTGAAATAAGCAGACATATATATACTAACTTGGTGCTATAACAATAAGTAGAAAATAAATAAAATAGGAATGTTCACAGGAACTTACCATTTTATCAACAACAATATGGACATGACAATCATTAGAACTTTGTGAATCCAAGTTATGAAAATTTGATCCTTCATGAGGAGCACAATCTGATTCAGAAAACTTTTCAGGAAATTCAATATCTGCACTTGAAGGAGAAAGAAGAGGAATCACTATAAATGAGAATCATGTGCTTTCACACCAGGTAGACAATTAGCACAAGCACAAAATTAATACTCACCCAACTGAAAACCTTCACATGCAGCAGAGAGATCATCGGCTGCTTGAATATTGTCCACTTCATCAACATCATACAACAATCCATCAAGAATCTACTAAAGCAACATTTCATCGGATATCAGCATAGCACCTATGCATGCTTGCATGCAGTAAATACAATATTCAAACAAATGTATAAACAAAATGTAATGAAGGAAAAGAAAAAAAAACATAAAATTCATAACACGAAAAATTCAAAGAAAATAATGGCCTGGGTGTGACGAGAAAGCCTCAAGAAGAAAACAATACATACTTCAAGCTTCAAATCATCTCCTCCTTGACCTTAGACCTCACCTTATAAGGAATCACAAACAATATAATATCATCAGAAGAGTAACAAGCAAAATTTAAAATAAAAATCTGAACAAAGGTTTTCATGTGTCAACAAAGAAATTGTAAAGTTAATGTCTAGTTATACCATTGTATATCGTCTTGTCTTTTTTGCAATATTTGATAACAATATATGAGCATCAAATCTTAGAAATCACTCAATGTTTGTCCCTGCATCCCTTTGTGAGCCATAATTTTCATGTCTTGAAATGGTTATGACTATTCGTTAATTAAATCAAATATTATAATAGGTCAATATCACCCTGCCATCCAGTGCACAAGTCATAAATTTTAGGACATTAACGACTATGATAGCTTTAGAGTTATGTAAACCAACTAATAAGGAAAAGAAACAAAGACAGAAGATACTAACCAAGATTATATCAATTCAAACCAACAATTATAAGGTATAAGCCTATATCACCATAAACAATTCTTTAACCAGTTTAAAGCACCATTGATGTTGGTTCTGCATCTTCAAAACAAAGTACATCACAAAGTTAAGCATAATAATTCTACAAGAGCATTCTAGCAATAGCAAGCTGTGCACTGAAGAGGATGAGACAGATCCATCATAGGGAACTTATCAAAGATTCTAGATGCTTCTGAAATCTTAACATTGATAAAATTTAAAGCACTTTAAAGATCATTTTTTCTTTTTAATTTTGAAATGAGGGAATTGGCAAAAAGAACAGTGAGAAGTTCTTGAAGAGTATTACCACAATTAATTTTCCAGCTGTAATCAAGAGCACAAGAGAAGAAGTCTTCCATTTTCAAGTGTTTCTCTAAGTTTTCCTTCCCAAAACATAACACTCCATCTACTAAAACATGCTCACTATTAGGTTCTGCAAGTAAATTCTCAACTTGAGCTGCTTCTTCCAAGCAAGGAACAACGGACTCATCCACCTATATCCATAGATCAAAAGCAGGGGAAGGAGGGTGAGGAGCAATATAGTATTTATCAAATTTACACCCTTCTTTATGAAGAATAGCAAAAGAAAAAAACGTGAAAGTGCAGCCAGAAACCGTAGAAGTAACTAAGTATCAATGACAGGTGACACGCAAAATAGAGAAACAAATGATGGATTAATTGAAAAATATTAAGGGTATGTTTGTTTGTCTGTAATTGGTTTTCTGCAAAACCAATTCCAGAAAACCAATTACATTTCTGGAAAACCAATTCCAGAAAATCAATTACATTGTTTGGATGTTGCATTGTAAAATGTTTTACACTGTTTGGTTAGTTTTACTGAAAACAATTTACGAAATCTGTTTTTTTTAATGTATATATTTTTATATTTTTCTTGTTATTTACATTTTAAATTTTTTTAAGTTATTTTATAAAATTGTATTTTATAAAATTGTATTTTATAAAATTTTGAAATGAAATGTTTTATTTTTATAAGTACATGAAATTAAATTTGTAGAAAATATACTAATTATGTTGATTGTGTTATAAATACACAATTTTAGGTTTGAAGCATTCATTATTCTTTATCTATTAGAATTTTTAAAATTAAATTTTAACTCATAATTAATATCATATGTAGGTTTAATTAATATAATATCTTTTCCAGATTATGCTATTTTAATGGCCAAGTATCCCTATGCATTTGTCAATTATCTCACATCCTCGTCTCAAATGGAGTAGCAGTCATTGCAGACTGTTGTTCACAGTACTGATCGAACTTCGAATGGCCATCTTGTTGAAAACAAAAATTCTAAACCCCCTCTCTCCAGTTCCACACTAGTTCATATAAGGTATGAAAGTGAAAATGGAAAGACCAATATCATCTAAGGAAACATGCATATCAAATCTTATAAACAACTGCTACTGAGAAAGGCTAATTATTGACATTCATCACACTGCAACGTTTATAAACAAACAGAACATATATAGGCAGGAATCATATGTTCCATTGCAACTTTATTTTTACGAGCGGAACTTCTTGCATTTAGATATCCCTTGAGGTGTTGATTTAGCAAACCCACTGACAGGTCTAGGGCCAGAATAAATCCAAACACAGAATAAGTTTTAGGGTCGTAATATAATGGAAGGGAAAATAGAAGTAGCTACAAAAGTAATGCAAAAGTGTCACTGCAAACAAAACAAGGATCCGCAGCTCAATTAGTAACCAAAGTAATGAAATCTCACATCTCATTTATCAAACAAACGGTAATCATCATCTTTAATGTATGCAAATATAGGGGCTTCCTCTTCACCATCTTCCATACCTCTAAACACCACTTCTTCCATAGCATTTTGACAAAAAAATTCATATTAGGAAGCATCGAAAAGCGCACTATCTGCAAAATTGTTAACCAATTAGCAAATCGAACAATACCATACGAGTGAACATGCCACGTTTGGTGGGTGTAAATATCCAAAAAATTCCAACGGAATATAATAACTAGAGCAATTAGCACAGAGATCAAAGAGCAAAAGCCCATAGATAGTTGAAATCCATTATGTGGATCAAACAAATTTCAACAAAAACAACGAATTCCCTTTCAAAATAATAATCACATGGAATTATGAAGATTCTATCACAAATCCAGGAAAAGAAGTGAAAATTTTACCTAATGGCAGGTAGCCCAGGATGAAGGAGAACAAAAATCAAGAGGAAAATAAGGGGAATGATGGAAATTGAAAGGAAAGAATCGGAGGAGGAAGGGATTTGGGGAAATAAAAATAACCGGTGAGTTTAGGAAAATGACTTACCTAAGAAATAAACGGTAAGTTGTTTTCCCGTGTTTTATTTCCTTTTTTCCTTTGACTGTAGTTTGTTTTCCTTTGACCGGGTTTTCCTTTTCCGAACCAAACACTGGAATTGGGGGAAAACCTTTTCCGTAAAATGAAATACCTGAAACAAACAGACCCTAAAATGAAGTTTCTTACCTTTTGACATTTTACATCAGCAAGCTTCTTTATCAAATGTGGTTTCCCTTCAGTTTTCATGTTTTATAACCTTGGCTTGTAATACAATTCCTAACTTGCATTCATGTATCCAAGAATTCCCCACAACTACTAATACACCTAAGCAACCAAAGCAAACAAACATTAGTAATTCTATTAATTAAACCAAATATGGAATTTAAAACAAGGAAATAAACGATTTTGAGTGTGATTATTTTTATATGCTTCATAATTCCTTCTGCATTTTAATGCGAAAAGAAATGACTACGACAAAAACATGGAGCAACAAATAAGTCTAATTTAAAACACCATTTCAAGCACATATCCATTCAAACACTTCCAATGAAACTTAAAAAGTTAAAAGAAAAGGAAAAATAAGTAATTTCATTTTAATGAAAAAAAGATGAAAATCAAGTTTATTGAGTGTCGTCCAGGATTTAACATTAAAAGGGGGATTATGAACTGCAATTTATCTTTTATCCAAAGAGACCAATTATAGCGGCTTTATACTCAGATTTTGAAGAGAAATATAGATATTTACAGTGAAATGAGACTACTCGAGTTGTTTAGTTCATCTACAAATTTCCTTTTTCTAAACTCAGCAGAGAAAAGGGAGAAGATAATATCAGCTAACAAACCATAAAGAAAACCAAATTTTCTTTCCCCAATGTTTTTTCAGGAATTAAATAGGCAATAAGAATCAAACATACGTCATGCATCCGCAAACCGATGGCTAACCACTTATCACTCTCCGATCTACATAATTTTCAGATCAAAAGAAAACCCTCTAAGAAAATTTAAAACTAGTAAATCCCAAAAAGGAAAAAAAACAATATTAACTAAATGAAAAAAAAATTGAACTTGAAGAGATGGAACAAAGAACTAAGTTAAGAAGAGAAAAGGGAAAAAAGAAGGGAATATTCGTAAGAGAAGTTGAGAACAGCAGAAGGCCTCGTAGAATATAACAGAGGTAAAAAAGAGACTTTTGGGAGCATTGAAGTCGATACCCTGCTAAAAAGAGGCTTTGAAATTTTACAGTGGGAAAACATGCATACGTGATGGAAATTATAGGGGGAAATTAAAAGACGACTTTTAGAGATAACACACAATGAAAAGTGTACTCTGTGTGTTTGCTAAATTTTTTGGATTATGACTATTAAATATGACACACATTATTGTAAGTCATAAATCGTTCAGATTTTATGAAACATGACATTTTTTTATGACACATTTTTTGCAAATCATAAATTAGCGTGTGTCATCGTTCGTGTGTCATTAAATGTATATTTTCTTGTAGTGTATTATGGACTCTGGTGCATGTATCACCCCTCCTTAAAGAATTGTTGGAGATGCAGAATTCAATATATCTTAAGGATGTATGGCAGCTTATAAAACAACGGTGGATCAAGAATATTTTTTGAGAATTGACACACATACATGAATAATATAAAATTTTCATATGGTTAGACACAAACAAAAGTTTAAGGTGGACACAATCGATAAAATTGTACCCACCCTTATATATGGGTGAATCCGCCACTATTTTGAAATATTGGGTGAGATTTATTTGTCTTGGTTGTATTCTCGTGATAGTTTCGGTGTGAGTCGGATATAAATAGGTTTTCTACCTTTAAATATTCTGGAAGCTCTTCGCGTTTCTTTGGTATTATTCTTACTGTTATTAAAATTGTTTTGGTTGTAACGGTTCTCTGTTGATTTGAGTTTTGGAGACAACCAGTAGAAAAATAAGGTTTATAATTGCTCTAGTAAGGAGTTTTTTTATTGGAGTTTTATTTAAATATATTGTATTCGATTTTGACGTGGGATTTGTATGGGATCTTTTTATATCCATTTTATATGAATTTTATAATAAATAAAATATTTGTTGTCATGTTCAAGGGCAACTATGTCAATTGGCTTCAACTTCCTTCAGACGGATACACTGATAATGTTGAGGAGATCTGAAATCTATTTGTATCTTATTTTCAGGATATCTTCACTGCTTCTTTCTTAATTGATTTAGATGCTATAATTGATTTCATTCAATCGTGTGTCCATAATGATTTCCTCACTAAGACTTTCATGAATGAAGATAGTTGCCATTCTACATCTTAGATTCACCTTTTTAACACACCGAGATTAGATGGTTTTCATACTTGTTTTTACCATCTTTTCTAGGATGATGTTGTGATAGATGTGACGAATATTGTTCTAATTCCAGAGATGAATGGTGTTGTTAGTATCGAATTATCTATCGATAAAATTATGCAATATTTTATACAAGATTGTTTCTGAAGTTGTGATGAATCAGTCCAAAACTATTTATGAATCTCAGAGTGCTTTTGGTTCCAGTCGTTTAATCGCTAGTAATGCTTTGATTTTTGTATAAAAACTCCAAACATTTTGTACCTGTCGCTCAGGCCGTACAGGTGCTTTTGCTTTGAAGCTGAATCAATATAAGTATACCATTTTTGGGGCAACTCATGCTTGTATGGGTTGTAAATACTTGTGATGATATTCAACGAGCCATTTCGAGTTTACCTGGGCTCCCCGACTGTCATTAGTTGTAATTTTCATCTTACTTTCTGCTTTTTTGAATGAACGAGTGTTGTCAAGCAAATGTTTGACATCTTTCCCAAGGTGGGAAGCTGGTATATTTCAGGCCTTGCCCACATATCAAAAGGAAAAACTATTCTTCCTTGAGTTCAAACAATAACATCTGCATACTGTGAATTCGATATCAATACTTAAGAAAAATTTTAAACATATACGAACTTGTAATCACCTCATATCTACTACCTATTGTTTGAACTAGTTTGTACTTTATTTGTTTATGGCAATGCAATGATATGATTTAATTATAAACATTAAACCCTGAAAATATTATAATTAAAGATCAAGTCTTACGAATTAATTTCACAAAACTTGCTAAAAGGGTAAATTTATCAAACTCTGAATACAATTTTCATTGCTGGATAGAATTAAAAAAAAGTAAAAATAGAATTAAACTTTAAAAATACATATTTTAAACTAAATTACACACACTAGTATTGTCCTTCCAAACGGACATGACTTACTTTTACATAGGCAAAACTGTCGAGATAATGCATGTGGGAATGTTTAATTCCCAAAACAATGAACTCAGGCTATTATTTCCTCAAATGGGGTGTTTGCTACAGATAACATGCAAAGGTTGGGATCTCTCGGCGTCATCAGGGAAAGGATTTAGGGTTTCTCGACGTCTTCAGCTTACATTGGTTCAAAGGATCTCTCGGCATATCTCGACGTCTTCTATGTTCGTTCAAAGGATGTCTCGGCGTCTTCAACAAAAAAAATCCATGCATTAAAAGATCTCTCGGCGTCTTCATTGAAAAAATTTCCAATCAAACTTGAAATGCTCGGCGTCTTCTATGCAAATATATGAAGTTCATACGTGGAAAGCAACGCTGCACGCATGCATGCGTTGGGTAGGGACTCACTCCTCTTCTTATTCTTTTAATTATCAGAGTTTCTTTACTGGGTGCTTTTCCTTAATTGTATCTTTTCACAAAACAGAACTCACGTGAAAAATAAGTAATCGAAGTGATCATTCGGTTGTTGGAATGGATTTCTCAATCTCATTAATTAAGTTTTGACTTTCTTGATGGACCACACTACCTGATTAAATGAAACAACTATTAGAAAATATCAACAGTGTGGCCTCACTGCCCAATCCTTGTACAAAAGATGTTATAGTACTTTAAATAAGATTAAAAATTTAAATTTGTACAGTGAATCAAGTAAAGTACATTATGAAAATCATCTATATGATAAAACTTTATAATACAAGCAAATAGACATATTTTTAACAATAATATATTAATAATTTTATATATACTTAATTAGACTCATACCCGATTTAACCCAAATTGGCCCGATCCCTAAACCCTAAACCATATATAAACAAAATTAAATCGAATGTAATATAGACACAAACTAAATTGATCTGAAATGTTCCAACTTAAATCTAATACGAATGATCCGTTTGTTGCCCCTACTTCTACTTAAACCTAAAAGCATTTTATAACATATACTCTTAATAAATAAAGAAAATAATTATACGTAGAAGTAGGGGTGACAAACGGATCATTCGAATTAGATTTAAGTTGGATCATTTCAGATCAATTTAGTTTGTGTCTAGATTACATTCGATTTAATTTTGTTCATATAAGGTTTATGATTTAGGATTTAGGGTTTAACCATAGGCTTTTAAAGTATAACTATTAACACGTTATATTTTATATAGATATAAAAAATAAACACGAAGAAACACAGAATTACTGAAATGTCGATATCACCAAATCTGCTAATACGTTATACTTTACCCATAGGCTACCGAGTAGTGACCCACTTAATTGCTGAAAGTTTTCAACCCTTAAAAAATTAACCTATTCGTATTGACTCGAACAAAAAATTAACCGATCTAATATTGACTTAACCCTAAATCCTAAACCCTATATGAACAAAACTAAATCGAATGTAATCTAGACACAAACTAAATTGATCTGAAATGATCCAACTTAAATCTAATTCGAATGATCTGTTTGTCACCCCTACTTATACTTATAATTATTTTCTTTATTTATTAAGAGTATATGTTATAAAATGATTTTAGGTTTAAGTAGAAGTAGGGGTGACAAACGGATGATTCGTATTAGATTTAAGTTGGAACATTTCAGATCAACTTAGTTTGTGTCTAGATTACATTCGATTTAATTTTGTTCATATAAGGTTTAAGATTTAGGGTTTAGAGTTTAGGGTTTAGGGTTTAACCATAGGCTTTTAAAGTATAACTATTAGCACGTTATATTTTATATAGATATAAAAAAATAAACACGAAGAAACACAGAATTACTGAAATGTCGATATCACCAAATCTGCTAATACATTATATTTTACCCATAGGCTACCGAGTAGTGACCCACTTAATTGTTGAAAGTTTTCAACCCTTAAAAAATTAACCGATTCATATTGACCCGAACAAAAAATTAACTGATGTAATATTGACTTAACCTTAAACCCTAAACCCTATATAAACAAAATTAAATCGAATGTAATCTAGACACAAACTAAATTGATCTGAAATGATTCGAATGATCCGTTTGTCACCCCTACTTCTACGTATAATTATTTTCTTTATTTATTAAGAGTATATGTTATAAAATGATTTTAGGTTTAAGTAGAAGTAGGGGTGACAAACGGATCATTCGTATTAGATTTAAGTTGGATCATTTCAGATCAATTTAGTTTGTGTCTAGATTACATTCGATTTAATTTTGTTCATTCAAGGTTTAGGGCTTAGGGTTTAGCCATATTAGGGCTTAGGGTTTAGGATTTAGCCATAGGATTTAGGGATCGGGTCAAATTGGGTTAAATCGAGTATGAGTCTAGTTAAGTATATATAAAATTATTAATATATTATTGTTAAAAATATGTCTATTTGTTTGTCAATCTTATCATTCGTGCTCATTTCAACTTTTAATCATTTAATATTTTGAATTAAACCATAATTTAGAGATTTTAATTTAACCCAAACTCGATCTTATAATACGTGTTTGAATATGTAATTCAAATTTTATATTGATAAGTTTTATAAAAGTTTATAGCTGGTCCAACTACAATTTGGATCGATTTTTATTCGAGTTGAGTATAGTTCGGGTTTTGGATCAAATATAATCATCATTTTTTAGACTATTTCGGATATCAAACTGGATAAAACCGATTCGGACAATCGAATTAGGATCAAGTTTATCATATCCACGTGGAAGCCTGTAATTTGGACACGTGACTTCATTGCTTGTATTATAAAGTTTTATCATATAGATGATTTTCATAATGTACTTTACTTGATTCACTGTACAAATATAAATTTGGACACGTGGATTCTGTTTTGTGAAAAGATTCAATTAAGGAAAAGCACTCAATAAAGAAACTCTGATAATTAAAAGAATAAGAAGAGGAGTGAGTCCCTACCCAACGCATGCATGCGTGCAGCGTTGCTTTCCACGTATGAACTCCATATATTTGCATAGAAGACGTCGAGCATTGTTTGATTGGAAATTTTTTCAATGAAGACGTCAAGAGATCTTTTAATGCATGAAAATTTTTGTGTTGAAGACGTCAAGACATCTTTTAAATGAACATAGAAGACGTCGAGTAATCCATTTCATGCATGGATATTTTGTGTTGAATACGTCGAGAGATGCCGAGAGATCCTTTGAACCAATGTAACCTGAAGACGCCGAGAAACCTTAAACCCTTTCCCTAATGACGCCGAGAGATCCCAACCTTTGCATGTTATCTGTAGCAAACACCCCATTTGGGGAAATAATAGCCTGAGTTCATTATTTTGGGAATTAAACATTCCCACATACATTATCTCGGCAATTTTGCCCTTTTACATATTGTTGACACCCGTTTTTGTTCGACTCAACAAAAAATATTATATTATTATTATTATATTAGTATTATTATTATAATTTATATTATAATTATTTTGTAGGCCCCATGTTGAACCCACATATCTCAACCATTTCCCTTTGTGGGAAACGGATTGTACACCATTATCACCTTATTTCACGATGAAGTGGAGAGGTGGGTATTGGAGGAGATTACAAAGCGATCTTGGGATATAAATAAAGAGCAAAAAAATAACAGAAAAGGGGGAAAAACACTGGACTCGGTTCTCTCTCTCTCTTTGACTTCTTTCTCTTCTTTCCATGGTTTCTGCACTGTACCTGTGACGACGAGCTGCTTCCTCGTCACGATGCCAGCAACATAACCAAGACTTTGAAATACAAACTCGTAGCCATCGCATCGATCTTGATGGCCGATCCTCTCGGCGTTTCGCTCCCGATTCTCGCCAAGAAGATCCCGACGTTTCAACTGGAAAACAACGTCCTCTTCCATGGATTAAGCAAGCTCCTTCCAATTCCTCAACGATTGGCCTTAGCAACACACTCAATTTCGTCCTTCTTCTTGATGGCATAGCTGTTAGATGATCCCTGTGCGGCGTTAATCAGTTCATCGGCCAAATATTCAACTATGGTCTTAATGTTTCTGAATGCAGACTCACGAGCACCAGTGGTAAGGAGATAAATGGCTTGATTCACACGACAAAGTGGAGAAATATCAACAGCTTGACGCCTTACAACACTAGCAAAACCAATTCGAGTAGCATCCTCACGATGCCCACTGTTGATAACAACATCAACGATGACTTGAATTGGATTCTGATCAGTCAGGAGATAAATAATTTCCATGGCATGCTTCACAAACCTGTCTGCCATAAGCTTCTTCCCATTGTTTCGTCTATACATACTCAGAGCAGGCCAAGTCAGTGGAGGATTATTACAGTAGGCAAAAGAAACTTCTCAAGTTTCAGGTCTCCTGTACACCGGCACTCTAGACAATGATGTGAAGAGCGTAAACGGGGTGCTACCACCAAGCAACAACACAGTTCTGAGCGGCGACAACACTTTGATCGGCAATGAGGGAGAGATGGAGAGAAGGAGGGCGTGTTTGATTGTCTCAACTCTGGCAAGCCTATGCTGCGTAGCGCTGGTTAGATCCAGTGCCTCTAATTATCGTTACAAAGCTGGAGATAAAGTTCCTCTATACGTTAATAAACCACTAGTGACGAAGAACCAAAACTTTCAGAATCCAACGAGGAAGCAAATGATAAAGCAGAAGAAGAAGAAGGAGATGAAACAGGAGACAACACGAGGAACGACATTCTCTGACCGCAGCTTGATCCAACGGTTTGATTTCTCGTAATCGGAGAGCTTTCAGCTATGCTCGTAAGTTGTTCGATGATATGTCGGTACGAGATATGGGTTGTTGGAATGCAATGATTTCTGGATACTGTCAAAAAGGCAATGTTGTCGAGGCATTAGATGTTCTGAATCAGATAAGATTACCTACTCCGGTAATCTCACACCTTGCATGAGTGATCCACGTTTAAGGGGGCCTCAAGAATATTTTAAGGATACATATTAAAAGTGTCAGGTTCTCGGAGTGGGAGCAGATTCCCGTTCCTAGAAGTGTGAGGGCAATTATTGCTTTACATCTTCATAATTATGGAAGTGGGCCAAATCCATGGGGGTAAATCTTCATAATTATTTGTTTCCTTTTTTTATTATTTTTCTTTTTACTCAATTTTACTTATCCTTGTTTATCTATCTTATTTATTTTATTATTATTATATTAATATTTTTTCCTATTATTTTTTTCATATATATTTTTTAATATTCTTGGCTTTTTAGGGGAATTGTTAATCAATCAAAGATAATTAATTCGAATCGAATTTTTAAATTTTAATTTTAATTTTAATTTTTCGCAATTAAAGACAACCGACAAATTAATTGGTACCGAAAGGGCGGTTCAAGGGTGCTAATCCTTCCTTGACCGTAACCGACTCTCGAACCCGATATATTTTTGGTTTAACGCAGATCAGGTAAGATGGTGTCCGATCAACCTAAATATTTTTTAAAATGACCGGTGGCGACTCCCAATCCATTTTATTCAAGTCGAAGCCCGATTCCGGGCCCAACCGAAAGACGACAGCGACAGCTTGGCGACTCCGCTAGGGACATGTAAGTGAGTCAGACCAAAATTAATTTTCGATTGTCTTTTTATGCGAAAATAGTAAATTTTAATTTTAATTTATTTATTTGATTCCAATTATTTACATTTGGTTATTTTTCAAATAAATAGTTGTACTGACATTTTTTCAATGATTTCAGATTTTTGAAAAGTTTTCATCTCTGGCTTTATACCTGAGCTCCTAACCCTGTTTAAGTGGGGGTGAAAGTGACGCCTTCGTGAGAATTTATTCTCCGCACAGGCCTAGCAAGTAGCCTTTGGGATTCATATACCTTATGTCTTCGTGTGAATTTATTCACCGTATAGGCATAAGGGAATGTATCCTCTAGAGTTTAACTTAGTCCACATAAGCTTGTAATGGGCTTAGGACTAAGAATCTGGCAAACCCAAAGGGGGCACCAGCAAGGAGAACTTGGGTACCTTTTTTAGAACCTAAATCGGGAAACTACAAGGAGTTAGAGCCCACCCCTAAACCTCATTTCAAACCCTAGGCTATTTTTGAGATTATTTCTTGCTTTATTTTCTACTCAAAGCATGTGAACTAAAAATTTATGCGGTTATGACTGGTTCAAAATTAACATACGGGATAGAAATCATGCCCGGGTAGGAATAATAAGCATGAGGGGTAGATATCATGTGGGGTAGGACTTTTTATTTTCATTATTTTTTTATCTTTATCTCACTAACTTTTTTCCTTCCATTTTTGTTCTCTTTCATTTTATTTTTATCATTCACATCATTTAAAAGAGGTGTTGATCCACAAAAACATGTTCGTTAACCATAAATAATTTTCATTAATGGACAAAGGGGTTGTAATACAAAAGGTAAAAAACGCAGAGGTGCGATTATGGTCAGAAAAGACTCAAAAGGAAAAGGGAGTTACTCTGCAAGGCAATTATATGTCACATTCAATCAAGAAGATGTGGTGCCCACAATCGAAGAGTATACCACTCTACTGTATTGTGAATGACTCAGAATGGATCGAGATTTACACCAAACACATCAAAAGTCCACTTTTCGAAATTGGTTTGGCAAAGGTTGCAGGGGAAAGACGAGAAAATGGTTGTTGACCTGGAGAGTCCCTTCAAAGACAACAAGAACAAGATGGCAAAACGATAGCTGAATTGGAAGCCATTATCGACAAATTCAAGAAACAAGCAAATGAACTTCGGATAATCCCTTTGATGGAGGATTTCAATGGAGTTTCCGATTCAGCAAAAGATGAAAGCTAGAGATGCAGTCATTCGATACTTCTGGGAACAAGTACAAAAAACAACTCCTCACTTGCACGGTTTAGCCAGAGAAGCCGGAGCGGTTCGATAGGGTATTCGACCGGTGACAGACGTAGGTAGAAGACTAGTCAACTTATTTCGGGGTCTAGTGGATTTAGTCCAGACGTACCTTTAAATATGTTTATTGTCTCTTAAAAGATAAAACACTTTTGTCCCAATAAAGATTATTTATAATAACAAACATGTTTTCAGATCAATGCCTCGAACATTTCATGCATTTTTTCATTTTGCACTTACATTTCATTTCTAAGCATTTTCATAAACATAAAATTTCTTCATGGAGTATTCGATGAAGTGGTCTTAACCACATGACACCACATGGAAGCAAGATTTTAACAATTAAAGAAAAAAAATTGAAATTAGTATAGTGGGAGCTTGATCAGCTGATTGTAGGACTAAGCCTGCCAGGATGATCTGAGAAAAGAGTCCCCATATCATAAGGGCTACGATGTTGAAGATGTTTGCAGTTACCACATAGGAAGCTCCAAACATTCCTCTAAGAACTGTAAGGCGTTGAAACGCAAGATCCAAAACCTGATGGATTCAAGGGAATAGACAGCCGAAGAAGGGGGCATTGTATATATCATTTGCACTTAGAGCATTATTTTGTTTGAACACGTCTTTGATCTTTCATGTTTGCTTAATCATTTAAACGATTGAATTTATGTTACTTTCTAAGGTGGAACAATTGAACAAATTTTAATCTTTAGTTCTTCGAATATTAAATGAATTAAGGATTCTTTTAATTCTTGAAGAATTATAGATTTTTTACATATGGCAAGATTAAACCTTTCTTATCCTGTCTCAAACCCTAAAATAAAATACCTTGATTCTTTACCCAAAATAATTCATGGCCATTACCAAAAGACCTGATTTTGACATTACCACCCTTTGAAACTTTTGAACATTTCTTTGAGTCAATAAAATCACACCATTGTCTTTTTAGACTCAAAATTGACCTTTTTTTTATACCACTAAGACCTAAGGCATTGAGTTGTTCATTTGAACATGAGCATTCTTCTAAGACACAACTTGAGGCATCTCGCAGGGAGCCTGAACATTGAGACATGTTGGGAGCAAGAAGCAGATAGAAGAATTCATTCGAAATAATTTTATCATGCATTAATTACACTGTTTTTATGTGAATAAAATTAATCCTGAAAATCTATCCCCATGAGGATACCTCTTCTGTGAGGACTTCCATGTATGAAATGATGAACGAATTTCTTTCTTTATCCCTTCACAACAAGAGAAAATATATATCTCTTGTGTCCCCTTTTGAGCCTATAATATTTTTCTTTTGATTCAACCCTAACCAAGGATCACCCTCCACACTAGGGGCAAGGTGGAATAAATCATCTCACATAGTGAAGACATCAATCCAAAGGAGATACCAAATGCAAAGTGCGAAGATCCAATCAGAACAAAAAGAAAAAAATAAAAAAAACAAAGAAAAAAAGCAAAGAGAAAATAAAAAAAGAAACAAAAATAAAGGAAAAGTGAAAAAAAATACAAGACGCATATGCAAAGATTCACTCGATTCAAATGACGCTTCGAGATTCAAATTATGAGATTGATCAAGCACAATCATTCCAGAATCACTTCACTCGAAGTTCATGGAACATCCAGAGAAAATCAAGAGAAACACATACGAGCAGATTCAAATTGAGCAAGATAAGATTGAAGGCATCAGAATGAATTGATCCTTGGTTTAATACCCTGAAACACTTGTTTGGGCCTATTTATCATTTTCTTTCATAACCATGAACCATGGCCTACATTACGTGCCTTAAAAGTCCCTTCTATTCATACATGGATTTCTAAACAGAAGAGATTATCTTCAGATTTCATCCCGCCCGTCAGGATTAATCTTTATGTGCAAAAAGTTTTTTAAAATCTTTAATGCATGATAGAGAAAAATAACAAGGGGGTTTAAGACTTAAATTCTGAATGACATCTTGAAACCAAAGGAGGATTCGAGTTGAAAACCTAAAAATGCGACTCGAACATAAAAATTGTGCAGCTGAGGCGATCATACAAATTCCTTGATAAGACATCTCACAATCCGAGTGTGACCATGATGGTTGGGAGTCGAAGAACACTTCCAGTAGAGGAGCATGCAAGCTACCCCATCAAACCTTTGAGCATCAAATAAACAAAAATACCAAACCTTTGACCAAACACGATAACCTGAGACTTTTTATCATTTCCTTACTTAACCATTTCCCAAAAAATAGTTTTGATCTTGGCACTTGTCAAATAACTATAATTCATTGAAGGATTAACAATGTAATTAATTATTTGATATCCAATGAACTCTAGTTTTATGATTCGTTCCAATTTTAAAACCGTGAAAGGGACAATATTTTCAAAACTTTTGGTTAAACATTTTTCGAAACTCTTTTAATTGATATTTTCAGAACTTTGAAAATAAAAGAGAAATAAAAATATTTTTTTCAAACAAGACAATCTCTTTAGAGTGGATCTTGGTAAATGACATGTGGCTCTTAGACACAAAACTCATGCTTAGAATCAATGTTGAAGCAAGAAATGAGAAACATTGGGGGCTTTTTTGGAAATTCAACATCGAATATTGGGGCATCTTTGGGGATTCAACACCCTAATGCGAATTATCAGATCTTCTGAAGGTCTTTCCTCAACATGTAGGAACCAGCAGACAAAAAATGAGATTCTGTCCAAAGAATAGAACAAGAACTAATTCATTATACATACATTTTAGAGCACCATATTTATCATTTTTCACATACATAATTTTTGCAGCTTTAGAGTCAAGTTTCAATGATACTCAATTCAAAGGTACCTTCATAAATTGACGGTGGTGGCTTAACTCAGCAGCGAGGAGCTATACCTCAACCAATTTAACTTGTTGAAATATCGACAAATTTTTAGAATAAACCTCAGAAGGGTTCGAAAGCTAATCTAGAAAGAATCCGGTTCAGCTTAACTCAACAATGAGTGGCTAGTCTCCAATTAACTTTTTCAAGCCAGGTTTCAACTCCATGACGGAGGATATCTGACTGACAGAATATACTGCTTGGCTTTCCCATGAAGGGTGACCATTTAAAGAACTATGATCGGCTTAGACCCGCGAAGGGGGTCATCTTTCATTTAGAGGAAATTTACACCACAACTTAAGCCGAGAAAAGTTGTGTGTCAACAAGCAATGAAAAACCAGTTTCATTCAAAGTCAATTTCAACTTCACAACGAAAGATATTGAACTCGAAAGAGATGCAATTTACAAATGTGAATTTTAACTTCACAACGAAGGACATCCAATTAAAAGCTCAATTTCACAGCGAAGCATGCCATCCACAGATTTGACTTTCTTAAGTCAACTATTAGAGCTTCTGAAAGGATTTCTTTAACATGCAGGAACAAGCAGATTATTGACCGCCTTTGAGATTGTTTCTCTCGAAACAAGGGGTCGTCTCTCTTGAGACTAATTTAATCAAAACAAAGTTTTGTCTCTCTTGAGATAGTTTCTCTTGAAACAAATTTTGTCTCGCTTAAGACAGTTTCCCTTTAAACAAATTTTGTCTCTCTTGAGACAGTTTCCCTTGAAATAAAATCTTTGAATATGTTTTCCTTGAAACAAATTTTGTCTCCCTTGAGACAATTTCTTTTGGAACTAAGTTTTGTCTCTCTTGAGACAATTTCCCTTGAAACAAATTTTGTCTCTCTTGAGACAGTTTCTCTTGAAACAAGATCTTTGAATATGTTTTACATTAAACAAATTTTGTCTCCCTTGTTTCTCTTGAAACAAATTTTGTCTCTCTAGAGATAGTTTCCCTTGAAACAAAATCTTTGAACATGTTTTACATTAAACAAATTTCGTCTCTCTTGACACAGTTTCTCTTGAAACAAATTTTGTCTCTCTTGAAACAAATTTTGTCTCTCTTGAGACAGTTTCCCTTTAAACAAATTTTGTCTCTCTTAAGACAGTTTCCCTTGAAACAAAATCTTTGAATATGTTTTCCTTGAAACAAATTTCGTCTCTCTTGAGACAGTTTCTTTTGGAACTAAGTTTTGTCTCTCTTGAGACAGTTTCTCTTGATACACAAAAAAACCTTTGAAATTGTTTCTCTTGAAACAAAAAAAAAACCCCTTTGAAAATGTTTCTCTTGAAACACAAAAGACCTTCGAGTTCGACTACACTAAACTCAAAGGCACATCATTTGCAGCATAGCTTAAGTCGAGAAGGGTTATCTACCAACCAAAGACCTTTCGAGTTCGATTACACTCAGCTCAGAGGAAAATCAAATTTACAGCGTAGCTCAAGGCAAGAAGGGCTATATGTCAATAAAATAATCGAGTTCGATTCCATTCAGCTTGATTACACGTCAACCACACTACTTTCCGGTTGTAGTCGAGGTTTTCAAGTCGAGAAGAAGACTTGGGTTAGTCGTGCCTTAGTGACAAAAAACCACTTTTTGGCAGCACAACTTAAGTCGAGAAGGGCTATCTGTCAACAAAATTGTCGAGTTCGATTCCATTCAGCTCGATGACACATCATCAAGAAACTACTTTCTGGTTGAAGCCAATGTCTTTAAGTCAAGAAGAAGATCTGGAGCAATCTCTCAAGTTTAGTACAACATAACTCAAGGCGAGAAGTGTTATCTGTCAATGAAAACATTTGGGTTTGATTTCATTCAGCTCAATGACGTATCAACTATTTTCTGGTCAAATTTTCACACCCATGTCTTTAAATCGAGAAAAAGACCAAGGTTGACAAGATTGGCAGCAAAGAGTCACTTTCCGATTCACCTATGATTTTGACTTCACAAAGAAGGATATTGTACCCAATGGATTGACTTAGTGTCACAACAAACACTATCAAGTCTCAAATCAAAGAGAATCGGACAAAAACTTGTTGCCTTTTTCATCTTTGCCCTATTCTTGTTAACACAAAAATATGCAAAGAGGGACAGCTGTAGACACCTGTTTTTGTCTGGATCTACAAAAATATTATATTATTATTATATTACTATTATTAATTTAAATTATAATTATTTAATAGGCCCCATATTGAACCCATGTATCTCAACCGTTTCCCTTTATGGGAAACGGGTTGTACACCATTATCTCCTCAACTCACGCCTTTCGCTGGGAAGTTGGGGAAGAGTTGCCGCTAAACTCGTTGCTTCCAACACTCTCAAGATCACCTTATTTCACGATGAAGTGGGGAGGTGGGTATTGGAGGAGATTACAAAGCGATCATGGGATATAAATAAAGAGCAAAAAAATAACAAAAAAGGGGGAAAACACTAGACTCGGTTCTCTCTCTCTGTCTTCTTTCTCTTTCTTCCATGGTTTCTGCACTGTACCTGTGACGAGTTGCTTCCTCATCACGATGCCAGCAACAGAACCAAGACATTGAAATACAAACTCGTAGCCATCGCATCGATCCTTATGGTCGATGCTCTCGGTGTTTCACTCCCGATTCTCGCCAAGAAGATCCCGACGTTTCAACCGGAAAACAACATCCTCTTCCATGGATTAAGCAAGCTCTTCCAATTCCTCAACGATTGGCCTTAGCAACACGTTCAATTTCGTCCTTCTTCTTGATGGCATAGCTGTTAGATGATCCCTGTGCGGCGTTAATCAGCTCATCGGCCAAACATTCAGCTATGGTCTTAATGTTTCTGAATGCAGACTCACGAGCACCAGTGGTAAAGAGATAAATGGCTTGATTCACACGAAGAAGTGTAGAAATATCAACAGCTTGACGCCTTACAACACTAGCAGAAACAATACGAGTAGCATCCTCACGAGGCCCACTGTTAATAACAGCATCAACGATGACTTGAATTGGATTCTGATCAGTCATGAGATAAATAATTTCCATGGCATGCTTCACAAACATGTCTGCCATAAGCTTCTTCCCATTGTTTCGTCCATGCATACTCAGAGAAGGCCAAGTTAGTGGAGGATTATTACAGTAGGCAAAAGAAACTTCTCAAGTTTCAAGTCTCCTGTACACCGGCACTCTAGACAATGATGTGAAGAGCGTAAACGGGGTGCTACCACCAAGCAACAACACAGTTCTGAGCGGCGACAACACTTTGATTGGCAATGAGGGAGAGATGGAGAGATGGAGAGAAGGAGGGCGTGTTTGATTGTCTCGACTCTGGCAAGCCTATGCTGCGTAGCCCCTGTTAGATCCAGTGCCTCTAGTTATCGTTACAAAGCTGGAGATAAAGTTCCTCTATACGTTAATAAACCGCTAGTGACGAAGAACCAAAACTTTCAGAATCCAACGAGGAAGAAAATGAAAAAGCAGAAGAAGAAGAAGAAGAAGAAGGAGATGAAACAAGAGACAACACGAGGAACGACATACTCCGACTGCAGCTCGATCCAACGGTTTGATTTCTCGTAATCGGAGAGCTTTCAACTATGCTCGTAAGTTGTTCGATGATATGCCGGTGCGAGATATGGGTTGTTGGAATGCAATGATTTCTGGATACTGTCAAAAAGGCAATCCTGCCGAGGCATTAGATGTTCTGAATCAGATAAGATTACCTACTCCGGTAATCTCACACCTTGCATGAGTGATCCACGTTTAAGGGGGCCTCAAGAATATTTTAAGGATACATATTAAAAGTGCCAGGTGCTCGGAGTGGGAGCAGATTCCCGTTCCTAGAAGTGTGAGGGCAATTGTTGCTTTAAATCTTCATAATTATGGAAGTGGGCCAAATCTATGGGGTAAATCTTCATAATTATTTTTTTTCCTTGTTTTATTATTTTTCTTTTTACTCAATTTTATTTATCCTTATTTATCTATCTTATTTTTTATTATTATTATATTAATATTTTTTTCCTATTATTATTTTTTCATATATATTTTTTATTTGATAATCTAACGGTATTCTTGACTTTTTAGGAGAATTGTTAATCAATCAAAGATAATTAATTCAAATCGAATTTTTAAATTTTAATTTCAATTTTTCGCAATTAAAGACAAAAAAAATTAATTGATAGCGAAAAAGGGGCCCATGCGCACATACTTATGGTAAAGACAAGGAAAAAATTGAACTAACATTTCTTAAAAATAAAATTGAAATTTAAAATAAAAAGGAGAGAATAATCTTTACACACAGAGAAAAAGATCGTTTCTGATATCAATACATTTATCTTACCTTTCAGAATAAAAAAAGACCTACTCAAAAACAAATTTTGTTCACTTGAAGAAAATATAGTCCCAAATCTATGAAGAACTATCATGATTAATCCAAGAAAATGACATTTAGTTTACTAGTTGATTTAATGCTTTAAAATTTATAATTATTATTAACCCAAACCTCATAACTATCCAGAATTTCAAAATGCAAATTACAGACATTATATTGAACTTAAAGGCAAACAAAAGAGTCGTATATCTAAGTTAAACCGTTTAACTAAGAAGAGGATCCGAGCAATCAAGCAAGTATTGTTTAGTCACCATATTTCTGATATGTCCATGAATCACTTCAAACATAAAAATTTTCATATTAAGTGGAAAATTTCAACACAAAAGAGTGAATGATACATACATATTTGCTAATTCACTTTGCATCCGAGTTCCATCTAAGGCCAGAATACGGTCAACACTCGATTCTAGTGAATTCCCAAATCTCCAAAATCCAAGTATTATCGCAGCTCCTGCGTAAAGTGAAGACTCTTTTGTCATTGGAAAAATAGTGTAATGAGTGTGTCAGCATGTTCATACATGTCAGGTGGTGAAAATTATCAGCTAGAGAGAGAGGGTTACCACTGGAGAGGTTTACCCGAAGTAACCTATTCAGCTTCCACGTTGCTGCCAGAAAGGATAAAAAATTCAGAAAATCATAAAAATGGAATATCCAGCTGCTGGAATAAGTTGAAAAACAAAAACCTGGCTATTATGAAAGTGATTTGAGTATTATTGAGATAATCTTACAGAAATGAGAAACGCATCAAGATAGAGCAGCAGCATCAATAGCAAAGGGGATACTGAAAGCGTATGCAGTCAACAAAGAACTTTCCTTCATAATTATTGTACCATCCAATTGAAAACAACAATAGAAAGGATTGCTAGACAACAGTCTGGGAAAGACCAACTTGTAGACAAACCAAACTTCTTTTTAATGCTTGGAGACGAAATCATTCTTTTGGGAAAAACAATTGCATCATCAAAATAGAATCATGGTGATTTTATAATCCTTCACAAAACAAGGAAGCTATTCAAAGTTGTAGGAAACTGTAAAGGATCATATCAAAGGCATATTACCCGAAATAGTGCTTAGTTGCTTGCAATAGAAAACAATGGTTTGGAAAAGTTTCAAAAAAGTATTTGCATGTATTTGCTCTGAACCTTCCATATTGTTATTAATTATGTCCAATTATTCATAATCTCAATTCTTGAGAGCACAGAGTTCCATTTACCACAATAAGAGAAATTTCAGGATATGAAGAACCAATATGATGAACCTAGAAAGAAATGATACATGCAACAACATTTCAAATCTTTAAAAAAAAGATTGAAGTTCAGAAAAACAATGATCAATAACAACGACAGTGAATAGAACATCATTCATTCCAGAAGACAGTTTTTTAATCTGTGTTGCTCCGACTCTTCATTTTTCTTTAACTACTCGTACCCGCACTTAGTGTTAAGCACATTCTCAAATATGGGTATGGTGATATGACCCTACAATAAAACATAGAAACAATTGAACATACTTGTATTGGTCGCAAACCCATATCCAACACTCACAACCAAGTCTAAGGGACATAGCTTTAAATTCGACACAATCATTCTAGGGCTAGTTCTGTATGTCAAAAACCATTTCCATGGATGTGCAGTTAAAACAAAGAACCAAAAATAAGAAGCAAAACATAGATACCTTCCCAAACAAGACCACCTCCAACAATTAGACCAGCCGTGAACTGATTAAGTGCCGAGGACTTACACCTTTGAAAAATGTTCTCTTCTTGCGGGGTCAATCGTTCCTATGAAAATAACACAAAATGTAAAGCAATTATAAGAATTTACATTATGCAAACATTAATATCATTACGCCAAACAATTATTTGTATGGCCAGACAGTTTCTACACAAATTAACGGTTGGGAAACAACATGTACAGATTATAATCGGTGACGAAGAGTTACAAAGCAATGAAATTGAAAAGGAAATGAAGGCTACCTTTTGGGATCTTAATTTCTGTTCAAGCTCAATCAAAGCGTCACCATTTTCCTGAAAATTCAGCTGCTTTTTTTCCTTTTTTTTTTTAGTATTAAGAGACTCTGGGACTGAATTGAGACTATACAACAAAGAGAGATTGTTCATGTTAAAATGGGCCTCTTAGAGGTAAAATTGACCCAATAAATTAAGCGAGTAAAAATTAGATCATTTCTAAAATTAATTTGAGTTATATGATATATGGTATAATGATTTGGAACTCATTATATCGATGTGATGAGTTTAAATAAAAAAATATTATTTGGACAAATTTATTATATAGATGTGACGAGTTTAAATAAAAAATACTATTTGGACAAATTTATCATGTAGACGTGACGAGTTTCCTCTATACTATAACAATTGTTGTATCCCAAATTAATGTTGAAGATGATGTAGTGAACTAACATTTTTTATCCAACTAACCTCTTGTGTCAATTTTACATTGTCTTGGATTCCTTAAGATTAGTGTTTGTGAATGAATGGGTTTGGCCTGAATCCATGTATAATTGTGACATCATATACTATAATTATTTGAGTTTTATTAGATTAGAAATATAAATCTCATTTTTAGGTTTATTTATATTTTTAGCATATTTAATCTTAATCGTATAAATTTTAAAAAATATTTAATTAATTCTAAATATAATATTTAGTAATTTATAATATATTTTTTCATTTATTAAATTTGTAAACACAAACAACTTAATATATTTTTAAATATTTACAACATAATATTATTTTTATTTTATATAAAATTACTTTATTTGAAATGTTTGTTAAGCTTTATATATTCATTTATTTTTATTATTTGATATTGGTTTTTGTCGAAATTATTTTTTAGATTCCAAAAATATATTATTAGAAACATAATTTTTGAAAAAAAAAATAGAGTCGTCAACTGATGAACCAACACCTGTAAAGTCTTATTTAAAAAAAAAAATTGAAAATCTGATTAAAATAACAATTTAGGATGGATGCATTTAAAATCTAAGAAACAAAATGAAGGGATTTAGCTACAGAAGATTGAAACATCCTTACGACTCCAAAAATTAGTATTTTCTAAAATAATGTGTTGTCTCATTTCTTAAAAATAGAATAGATAGCTGCAAAGAAAAGTATTGGTAGCAATCTCAATAATAATATTTATAATAAATTAGATACCAGAAAATAAATTAATAAATATAAATAAATAGATGAACATGCAAAAAAAAAAAGCTCATGAATTGAACTGGAAAAAAATCAGAAAATAAAAGGATAATTAGCAAAGAAAGCATGATTCATGAACACTTGGGCTTAATTAAAATACATGCAAAAGTGGGGACTAAGTGTGCATTTAACCAAAATAAAATAAACAAAATAAATAAAAACTAGGATAAACTATACCATTGACCCCTAAACTATTTAGCCCTTTTACTTTTACCACAGATCTTTCAATTTTTTCAATCATAAAACTTAAATATTTAATTGTTGTCAATCAACCCTAATTTAATCATTCTAACTTTCAAATTCAATTTTTTTAATTTTAATTATATATTAATAAAAAAAATAAAAAATCATGCCACAAAATAAAATAAATTAGAGTGATTAAAAATGAGCAAATTGAAATTTTTTAAACTTTAATAACCAAAATAAGAATGAGAAGATAGTTAAGTGATCAATGATTTAATTTATCTATAAGAGTGTCATGCGTAAAAATTTCGTTAAATTTTGAACGAAAAATATTAAAATAAAACAAAAACTAAATATTAGACATAGTTTTGAAAAATTAAAAATTTAGATACTAAAAGAGATTAGAAATGATAGTTTAGGTACTAAATAGTTTATCCAAAAACTTTAGGACGTGGTCATTATAACACTCTGTCTAATGTTGAAGGATGTGGCCAAGGCTGATGGGCGGAAAATTCAAGGAAGACAGATGAACTGGGTGAATTGAGATTGGATGTAGAATTTTGGGTGTGTTGGGTTTTGCTGAACTGGGCCTAACCCGAACATGAATAGAGAGAGACCAAACAACAATGAATTAAGTTTTGTTATAAATTAAGCCTCTGCGCTTAGATCGACTTTATTCAAAGAAAACACTCGAATACGATATGCTCCTCCAACAAAATACGACCACTTGAGTTACTTATTATATATAATTAGACTTTTAATTCTCAAAACATGTTTAAATGTCAATTAGAAGTCGTCAAACATGATTTTGTTATGTTTTGATGATTCGAGTACGTTAATGTGTGCTCATTAATTGTACAATCAATTAGATGTATGATTGCTAACTCAAAATTTCATATTCATTTTTTTCTTATAATTTTCCGAAGAAAAGATACATCTCTTTGGGAAAAGGATCATTCTTGAATGCATTTGTTGTCTTAAAAGCTTATTGCAATAAGGCTTAACACAAAAATAATTGTCTTAATTGTATCTTAAAATATAATTCGGTGCATAAAAATTTTTCGCTAAAAATAGGTGTCTAGTTTCTAACGTTATACTTTTAAGTACTTAAACCGTAACGACAATTAAATTATGTCGTTATCTAACATGTGTCACTCATATAAAATATCAAAAATTATTTTCATTTTAAAAATATTAATATTACAATTAAAAAACCTAAACCCCAAATTTTACATTTTCCATCGTCGATCGACCATCATTTGTCCATGGCCATCACCGTTGACACCATCAGAACCGTCTTGCAGCCGCGACCAAAACCCAATCCCCACCCACCGTGAAATTGAGCTTATCGTCGTGAAAAACGTCTCGAATGGTCACCGGATTTTTAGTTTTTTCTTTAAATTTTCCGACGATTTTGAAGCCTACAACCATTCATACGTTCAATGGCATCCACCGTTATGTTCCTCATTGTGTTCCGAACGAAATCCGACCGATGAAGACCGTTCATCGTTGGAGGTGAGGCAACAATGAGGGGAAGGGAGAATGGGGTTTGATTTTTAATTTTTTTCAAAAGTAATATTTTTATTATAAAAATTTAAAAAATATATAATTGTAGGCACTTACAAGTTTAACGAAGAAAACGTTAAATATTTATTTTTAATAAAAAAAAGTAAGCACTAAAACGATCAATTAAGTGTACGGTAACTAACTCAAAATTACATATTCAATTTTTTCTTGAAATTTTGGAGAGAAAAGATAGATCCAAGGATGAATCCTTTGGGTAAAAGGATCATTCTTGAATGCCTTGTTGTCTTGAAAGCTTTATTGAATAAAACAGATTGAGTATTTGAAATCACAGAAAATTGTTTTAAAATTTTCCCTTTAAGCATCCAAAGTTGATTCTTAACTTTTGGCACTTGTATAAGTGATATTTTATAAAATAGTCCGTAGGTTTTAAAATTCGATTGAAGATTAATTTTAACTCTAATAAACCTGAAACTTAACCAGTTACCTTCTAATAACCTGAATTTCATAAAAGAAAAAACATGAATTTTAATGTTTACAAGACAATACTAAAGATAAAAAGTATCTTCTTTTTAGTCCTCAAAGTTGGTGCTTTTTGTATACATCAAGCTGATATTGAAACCCGAATGAGCTAAAAAAATTTTAAGTACCGTTATTTTTTAAGTACCATTATAATTAACGTGTAAAGACATTTTTCCCCTCAAGTATGAAATTAATCATTTTTCTTAAACGTCGAGCATGTCCTAGGTTTGTTTTTCGAATGATGATTGTACGTAGAGGTGCACAAAAAATTCGAATATCCGATTTTGTAAAAAAAAATATCTGAAATCGGATTTGGGGAAATCGGTTTTTTTTAAACAGGATCGGATATTTTAAAATCGGATAGTATAACCGGTTTGAGAAAAAATTGGACGACCGGATTTTTTACCGGATTAAAAACCGAATAAAAAACTGGTTTTTTATCCGGAAAAAAAATCCGGTATGAGGTTTAAAAATCCGGTCTGAAGTTTAAAAAATTAGATGACCGGATTTTTTACCAGATTAAAAACCGGTTTTTTTCAAACCGAAACCGGTTACATCATCCGGCCCTCCAAATCGGTTATGATCCGAACCGATTTTTTTATAAACCGGTTTTTTGACTTAATGAAAAAACTGGATTAATTTTTATCCGATCCAAATCGAATTTAAATCCAGCTATGTTCATCTCTAATTGTATGTGCCTCCGCTGATTGTTTAAGGTTGTATACTAATTATTATGTTTTGTTTATATGTGCTTCTATAATCCCATCAAAGTATGAATTCGATTAATGTCACATCTTATATGTAAATCACCTCTGCTGCAATTATTGATATTAGAATCCAAAAACTCTAAAAATAACAATTATTTTTTTAATCTATAAAAATAATTTGATTCATAAATTTACATTGATTTTCAAAGAAGTGATCAATTAAAGGAGTTATGAATTTCTATGACGGTCCATAATGAAAATCACAGCTGGATCGAATATTTTATCATGATTTAAAGCGTAAAATATTTATACTTAATACATTAATAATTTTTATCACATGTATTTATATCATGCCATGTCAAATATTACCTGTTGTATAATTTGAAGAGTAACCTATTCAAGCAAATAACACTTTCTTGCATTAGAAGTAGAGATGCACATAGCCGGATTTAAATCCGATCCGGATCGGATAAAAACCGATCCGGTTTTTTCACTAAGTCAAAAAACCGGTTTATAAAAAATCCGGTTCGGATCATAACCGGTTTGGAAGGCCGGATGATGTAACCGGTGTAACCAGTTTCGGTTTGAAAAAAACCGATTTTTTTAAAAAACCAGTTTTTAATCCGGTAAAAAATTCGATCATCCAATTTTTTAAACCTCAAACCGGATTTTTAAACCCCAGACCGAATTTTTTTCCAGATAAAAAACCAATTTTTTATCCGGTTTTTTTCAATCCGGTAAAAAATCCTGTCGTTCAATTTTTTCCCAAACCGGTTATACTATCCGGTTTTAAAATATCCGATCCGGTTTTAAAAAAACCGATTTTTCCCAAATCCGATTTCAGATATTTTTTTTTGTAAAATCAGATATTCGAATTTTTTGTGCACCTCTAATTAGAAGGCAAAAGGTCAAGTACAACAAAGCCTAGAAACTCACCCTTTTTATTGCAAACTCAAACACAAC